TTAATGAACAGCAAAAGGTGTAGTGTAGTGTAGAATAATCTTATGATTCAAGTATATGTTAATACTTGCTCCATTGCCCTTTGAAAAGGTATGAATTCAAAAACTAAATAGTTGATAACTAAAATATATTTAAGTACATAGCTAGTAATAATCATATCACTAGCTTAAATGTAGAAATGTAGTTATATTGTTCATTTAAGGCCAGGAATTTGGGATTTGTACTGCAGCTTTTATAGTACTACATTGTATTATTATTTATAGTACTGCTATTGTATCACTAGCTTAAACGTAGTTAATATATTGCATGCAGCGTTTTTTCATAAAAATGTTTAATGATATGTTCTTCTTAACGTATTTTACTATGGTATATGTTTACTTAATATTAAGTTATAGTTGTTGAATCCGTGTATAGTTATAAGAGTGTGGCTGCTGGTACAATATCCCAGATTTGGTTCTAATATTTTTAGTTACAGCCACACCTTTATAAATCAGTGACAATCAAAATTTAAAATGTGCTAAAATTTATTAATAAGTACTCCGACGAAGGACTAGCGTCCGAAATGTCTTTTCATCTTTTCACKGTGTATAATTTACCTTTTTATCATTATTATTAGTTGTCAAAACAATCATTAATCTAAGGTCAAATTGAATACTAGAAAAACTGTAGTTCACTAGATTTTTATTAGTATTTTCTATTTATATAAATGGGCAAGAAAATTTGTTTACTATTCAGACGTTCATGCAAGTAGTTATTTAATTATATCCATTTGACATCACTGGTGATTTCTGTGATCTGATTGGTTAAAAATGATCATCTCTGAATTAAGCCAATCAAAAAAGAGACATTTTTTCTGACCAATCATATCAAGGAATAAGATCAAATTGCACTCCACTCAGTACGTACTATTACTATAAATTACAATCATTAATTGCAGAGTGCAATTATTTGCACTGAATACGAGAAAATTGAGAACCAATCAACCATAATCAGAAACAAATATTTTTCGTAGAATATATATGTTAATGGTATCAAAAGCTTGTGGGTAACAGTTAGTATATACTAGTTTATAAGAGTAAACTATATTTAACCTGAAAATGGGTGTCAGTAGGTAAGGTCAGTATGGGTGTCAGTGCCTTCCTGCTTCGGTGTGAGCATAATGACCAAAATCGTAACACTCTTGGCTCGAGATTGGAATGACAATAGCTAGTATATTGCCCATGCAATTTCCCTGTCTTAATCGTCAGTCTTAATCAGTGCATACCAATAATACATACGGTGATAATGATGACATTATACGCTTTAATGTTCCAACTGTATACTCAAATACTGAAATGCAATTTATCTAGAGATTTTTAGTATAATAATAATTTATTATGGTGTTTGAACAGTGATATTTTTGATGTTCTTTAATTTTGCCAATAAAGTGAGTGAATAACCCCCTAATAAGTTTTTGCCTTTGATTTTTATGTAACAGTATATGGAAAAGTGTTCCAGTTGAGCTAGCTGGCTGGCATGCATACGCAACTGGATATATGCATGCTAAGCATTGACCACTCCTTTTAAGGAAAAGTGTTTCGGTTGAGCCAGTTGGCTGGATTTAGATGGTATTTGAGAGGGAAGAGGGCACGTGCAGACTTGGTGCATGTAGTTGCCATAAAAAAGCTGAATCCCCCTCCCCTTCTGAATTATGATCAGTTTTGTTCTTTATGCCAAGCTACAGCAAAAGATGCATATGGCAGAATGAAAGTGGGGGACTGATTTTATGTGAGTGCAAATTAAAATTTTGAAAATGTGAGTGCAAAATTTATGTTGTGAGAAGGGATGGTGAACCAACCCTGGATCAATATATATCATTCGTTGGTCAAACCATGCGGATAAATATTTCTGTGCAGATACAGGTAAGTTACTAGATGATAAATAAGAAAGCATCAAAAAGGGCAATTTCATTTTCAATAAATAATAAATATTAATCATATAGGAATAATTGACAAATAATAATCATCTTAGAACAATTTTATAGAGAAAAAAACTTCTATATTCCCTAATACTATGAACAAATGGAGCAACTTTTCCTTGACTGTGCATGGTCAACGTCATATAACAATGGATAAAGTCGAACAAAACTATCCTCTGATTCAAGAGTTCAGCAATAAAAAGAGCTAATTGTGCTTGGCTATGCCCTGGTGTGACTCTTATGCTTCTTTTGGGCATACTGTATCAACCAGCTGTGGGCACCCAAAACTCAATAGATGCAGGCTTAGCAATAACCAATCCTTTATTTTATCAGACAGTTGCTACCTGATGATTGCCTTAGGAACTTGAACATTGATCTGTTCTGCACGACATGGGTGGAATTCCAGGCTAATCAACACCTTGGTCAGTAGTTTACCTGGCCTGCATAAGGAAGGCACGTTTTTTTATTGGAGGGGAGGATCATCCTTTAAGAATTTATTTTGAGGGTCTAAGGGTCCTGTTACACATTGAAACTTTTAGCTCAAACTTATATACTCATTTCCATAAAGTTAGTCTCCTGAAAAGCTATAAAGGTGAGGCCGACAAGGATAATGGGTAGATACATTTTACATGTTTTAACTGCTTAATAACTGTTGATGTACTTGCACATCTTTTACCAGTTATAGTCTCACCTCTCCTGAGCATCCTCAAGCTGCAGTTTGTATCAACAAAAGTTTACTTGTTGAATATGAAATATTTCCCATGATCCTCAGTAACCTCAGCTTTCTAGGTTTTTGGTGACTAACTTCATTGAAATCAGTATATGCAATGGCATTGCAAGACAAGTTTCACTGGGGTGTTACACAAAAGTAGAACAGCTTTCTAATCATTCAACCAAAACTTATGTCATGAACAGTCACAGGATTAAATTTTGCTGTGCAACACCCTCGTGGAACTTGTCTCATGATGCTATTGCACACACGTTTCAGCCAAAATTTTATTTTAAACATGTAATACTATAGGGCATTAAGCTATCTATTTTGACAAAAGCTGTTTTCTTGTCCTGATAGCATTTACATCAAAATGATTTGGTTCCACAGAAAAATTAAGACATGACATATCCAACATGTCTACCAGTAAAACGCATCTTTATCATACAAAGTTGATTGATTAATTTCTTTAGCTTTTGAGTTTTAACACTGAATTACAACCCTACAATCATAGCAACATCAACTCTAACCTTCAGTGTTCTCTTCTCCCTTATAAACCTGAATTTCAGCGGGATTAAAAAAATCAAAACCGATGGTTCATATTCTAAATATTTTATAGCAGAGACCGTTATAACAACTCCAAATTCTTTGTTTTTCTTTGTCTTAGGCAGAGACGTTGGACATCAGTATAGACGAAACTTCTTTAGTATTTCTGGAATAGGCCAGTGTTTTTCATCTTCGCGGTTGATTTTCCTGTGTTGTCGAGTATCTTCATTGATCTTTTCAAGGCAGTGTCCACAAAGATGGCCGACTAGCTTATTATTCCCACAAACAACACAAACTTCAATGTCAGTTCTGTTCTTAAGCCATTTATGACGATGTCTTAACTTCTTTTTTGAAGGGGTTGTCTTCCTCTTAGGAACAGCCATCCACAAAAAACTTTCATTTTCTTGTCTTTCTTCCACTTGGTAGCTACCAAAATTGCCCATGATGGGAAGTGCAGCATACTCAACATTTAGCGCTGTAAAATTCATAAGAATT